CCAGGCTCGGGTGGGCCGTGCTCGGGTCAAGGTCAGCTCCTGCAGCGCTGCCCGAGGGAGAAGGGTCAGGCCACTTGCGTCTTTGGCTCCCCCAAGCCTGCTCCCAACCCACCTGCGGGCCAGGCTGTTCTCCTCCAATCCTCCCAGCACCCCTGGGAAGTGAGCCCCTCTCTGCTTACTGGCTTGGGCCTAAGACCACACCTCCCTGGGCTTCAGCTGTAAATCCAGGCCATAACTGCCTCCTTCCAGTGTTGTGGGGAGAAAGGATTAAGTTGATACAAGGCGTGTAATTCGCCATCTAAAGCCCCAGAGCAAGAGACAAGCGAGAAACCTGTCCTAGGTCAGTCCCTACCTCACTCCGCTGTGTGACCTCCATCAGTCTTGATCCAGTCTCTGGGCCTTAGTCTTCTTTTGGATAAAACAGAGATCCCTCCATTCCCACCAGTGAGGGCTGCACCAGCCATGTGTGCATGTCCCGGTGCTCTGTAACCTGTAGCGCCCCAGTGAGCTCTAGCTCTTGGGGAAAGGAGGCTGAACCCTTGGGCCTCCACAGCCGCAGCCACAAGTCAGTCCCTGACCCCAGGGTTCCAGCTCTGCAGGTCCTCAGCACCCCCATTAGCAGAGATTATCATCTCCACAGTCCAGCAGGAGCAGGGACTGGCCACGGCTCACGCAGGGCTCCAACCCAGGTCCCAGCTTCCCCTGCTGCCGTCAGCAGCAGCACTCTTTCAGTAAGCGGTGTCCTCTCCACGCCGGTCACCCACCTGGAGACCCCATGCCCTCCAAGGCCCTTCTCCAAGCACAAGTTACAAGGATGCAGGGAAACGCCAGGGGGATAGTTGGGATTGGGAGGACCTCTCTGTATGTAGCTGGGGCCTCCCATCAACCATACAGTTACAAACACAAAACCCCCAGGTGAGCCCCTCCCCATACCTGGCATCAGGGCTCGGAACATCTTCCTCCACACCTGGAATTTGAAGTCATCTGAGATGACAGGCAGCTGGATGTCCAAACGGGCAGGGGGTGGTGACTCTGCCAGGATCTTCTGCAGCCTGGAGGTGAGGAGGTAGGGGGAGATGTCTGCAAAGGGACTTCCTGGAGGAGGAGGCACCAGTGGGGCCAGGGCAAGAGGCAGTCCCCAGAAGAGAGGGGGACGGGGCTGGGGTGGAGTTCCAGAATCTCCTCCATTACACCCTGGCTTAAAACTCTTCTGTTGGTGTTTCAGTTTGGAAAGATGAAAAAGTTGTGGAGATGGATGGTGGTGATGGTTGCACAACAATGTGAATGTACTTAGTGCTGCTGAACTTAAAATGTACTAAAAAGTACATTTAGTTACTATAAAGTAACTAAGATGGTCAATTTTATGTTATGTATATTTTATCACATTTTTTAAAAAAATCTGTTGGGTTAAGGTCCAGCTCCTCCAACCTTTCACAGTCTGGCCCCTCCTGCCACACCAGCTTCATCTTCCTTCACTCTTATCAGTCTTTGCACTTGCTATTCCCTCTGCCTGCAATGCTCTTCCACCAGCTATTTACCTAGCTATCTCCCGTTCATTTCTTCATCATCCAACTCTAAGGTGTACACCTCTGGGAAGCCTGCCCTGGCCACCCTCTTTCCCCCACGGCAGTACTGAGCACACAGTGATGCCTGTGTCCCTGCCCACGTCTGTCTCCAACACCAGTCTGGGAGGTCCCTGAGGAGAAGGACAAATCAGGTTTCTATGTTGCACACGAAATGCAGGGGAATCACAGTGGACTGAATGGGAGTAGAGGGTGAGCCAGCCAGTGTCCCGGGAAGACAAGGGCAAGTGAGAAAGGGGGCAGGGCCAGGTTGATCTCACCTGCTGGTCACCAGGCAGTATTTCTGGAAAGACAAAAAAAGAGAATGGAGATGATATAGGTGGGGCAAGGTGGAGGAGGTGGGACACTAGGGACTTCTGAGGATGGGGCAGACCACCAGAAAGGCTGAGGATAGGGTCAGAAAAAATCAGAAAAGACAAAAGAAACCCAGAATTCAAAGCTACCCTCTACCTTTACCTCTGTGTGAACTAGAAGAGGAAAAAAAAAAAAGGCACCCTCTTCCTCAAGAAACTAATTCAATCTGGTAAAAAATTGTCCTAAGAAATAGGCAAACCTACAACATCTGTGGTATGAATGGTGCTCACTTATAGTGTCTTTGTGCAGTGCCCAACCTAAAGAACCGTTAACGGCCATCTTGGGGCACACCCCTCCTCCGGGTGTGATCCTGGCTCACCCCTGCCCCTCTCTGGACCTCAGGTCCTTGTCTGACAATGGAATGAGGTCTCTGAAGCCTGAACCCTGGCTGAGGGGCAGAAAGGGAAGCCGTCCAGTGCTCACCATGAGGAACTCAGTCTGTGGCTTGTCTGCCACCTCCTCCAGCACCTTCTCCATCTGCCGCAGCTGCTCCAGGTAAGAGTTCAGGCTCCCCAGCTCCCGGCGCAAGGCGACCCCTGCCTCACCCCGCACACGCTCTGCTTCGCGGTCCAAGGAGCCCTCCAGTGCAGCCAGGAACAACCGCATCTTGCCCAGCTGCTCCCCCACTGCCCCCCGGAACTGACGTACTGTCTCCTGTGGGGGCACATAGGCAAAAGCATTTAGCTGGGGACCCCCAGCCTGGACTCCCAGTTCCCAGGCTCTTCCATGCTAAGCCCCTCACCTCCACCTCCGCCAGCTGATGCTCCAGCACGGCCACACTCTTCTCCTTTCTCATGCATGCCTCCTGCAGCTGCAGCTTCTGCTGTGGGAGCTGTGTCTGGGGGGCAAGACATAAAGAAGTGACCTTGCTACCACCTCCCCCACCTTAACCCATACCTCCCACATTAACCTGCTCCCTCGGGCTCAGCCTCCACGCCTGCTCCTCTTCCAGCCAGGCTGACATCCTACCACTCCCCAGATACACTCACTGGTCAGAAGCCCTTGTCAGTACTGATCCTGATGGCTCAAATGCCTCATCTCCCATTGTCTACGTAGGTAAGTCCTCCCTCGCTTTGCCTTCCCTGATTCCATCCCTTCAGCAAGCAGCCCTCCAGAACAGGTCTTTGTGAAGATGACAAACACAAATGCAGCCTGGTCCCCTCCACCAGAGGGGTAAGGGCTTGGCACACAGTAGGCTTCTGGGGTTAGCATAGGATGTGTAAAGAAAAAATGCAGCCTCCCCCTATTCCTGGGTTTCACCCTATACCTAAAAGCAGACCCTTAGCAAAATGTTCCCTGCACACCGGTAGTCTCTGGGGGTAGGCAATTTAATAAAAATATCTTCTGCATGGACAAACCAAACATATCTGGGCCAGCTCCTACCCTAGGTCTGTCAGTTTGACTCTCAAAAGGCAGGTGTAGGGGAGTTCCGAATACCTCCAGCTAAAGTCACTCTGCTGGGAGGTGTACGGCCCTGGAATCAGATGTTTCCAGTCCTGCCTCCATGGCTTCCAACCTCAGTTTCCTCTTCTGCAAAATGGGAACAGTCATCTCCACATCACCTGTGGTTCTGACAAATTGGCTGCTCCCTCCCTGCTCCCACTTAGTGAAACTAGAAGACCCTCTAAGCACTGTTTGCTGATGAGTCCCTTCACCTGCCTCCGTGGGAGCCACAGAATTGGACGAAGGGCTCCCATGGCCAGAAGCCAGGTCAGTCTCCTCCCCAAGGAGACATCCTCCAGGGCGACAGCCCCATCTGCTGCAGGACAGGGTGGGCCCGGTGGCTCTCAGCCATCCGAGGTTCATGGGTGACAGGGCTGAGCCATGGGGACCAAGCACGATGCCATCCTGGAGGCCCGGGAGAACCTCAAGACCACAGATGAGCTCAAAAAGTTTGTGGCTAGGCAAAGGCTTTTGGAACATCCCATGGAGGGCAGGCAGGGGTGGGGTGCGAGGACTACAGTGCAGGTACTGAGCTCATGGCAGTCTTGCTCAAGACACAGGCACACAGGAGGAGGCAGCACGGCTTCAGGGGGCCGCGAGCCCCATGTGCCAGCAGATCCCATTCAACCACTCAAGTCTTGGCACGAGGTCTCTGGAGCCAGCCCTTCTTCCTCACCAAGGACCTTGGCATCCAGTCCTGCCCCAGCTTTCCTGCCCCCTCCTCCTTTAGTCTCCTTTCAGAGATCCCCACTTCAGACCTCCAGCTAGCCCCTTCCTGAGGCTTAGAGCTGGGCTGATGCAGACCCTGACAGACTCTATCCCACCCACCTGCCCCCGCAAGGCTCCTGGCCCACTTGGTGCCCCATCCCATTTCACGGACTCTGCTGTCTCTTAGCAGATTAAAAATGGACAAGGTTGGGAGTTCTGGGGTTATCAGCAGAGGTGAGCCTGGGCAGGCAGGGCTCCTGGGAGGAGGAGGTGCCTGCGCTGGGCTAGGAGACCACCAGCCAGCACCCGGCTAGACTGGCAAGGCTGGAGTCAGAGGGACCGTGAGGCTGGGTCCCTGGGGGGAGTCTGAGGGCCTCAAATGCCAGCCTAAGGACAAGAATCTGGGGGCCAATGAGAAGTGCAGTGCAATGCAGTTTGTGGGCAAAAGTAACTCACAGAAGTCCCCTCCCTGCCCCATCCCCACTCCTGAAGCACAGCAGCAATTGCGAGAAGATGATGGCAGCTTCTCCACCGCAGGAACTGAGAACTGCTCCATGCCTCCAGACTCCTCCTCCTCCCGCCCCTGCACCTGTCGTTTACTCTTCCTATAAATGCTTCATGACAGATCTCCTTGGGCCTGTGTAGACACATACCCTCCCGCAGCTACATGCGTGTGATTTGCCACACATGACAAGGCCGAGCCTGGGTACCTGCGTCTCCATTTGCCAGTGTCTGGGTGTCTGGTGGGCACCCATGGGGATCGCAAACCTCGGGGCACGCACAGGTGTGTGCGGGCACTGGAAGTGTTCGGAACTTCCGGCTCCAACTAGAAAAACAGCCTGAACTTGGGTCTTGGTGCCAACCTGGGCCTGCGCACAGAGGTGCGTGCCCTGGCCTCCCGGGTTAGGCCCCATATGGTAACATCACGCCCACACAATGCTCCGTGGCTCCAGGGGCGCGAGGGCTACCGCCCAGCAGCTGAGCAGCCTCGGCCAGCCCAGCCCCTTACCCTGACCTACGCCCAGCAGCGGAGCCTGAGCCCCTGGGCCGCGGGCACCGACTCAGTCTTCGGCTCGGCCCCCAGATCCGCAGACTCAGCTCTGTAGCTGCGCCCTCCGCATCTCCAGGCACACTCCAGCGGCTGCGCCCATGCCTCCAGGGCCCGTCCCTGCGCACCTCTTCAAGTCTCGGGTCTCCACCAGACTCTGTCTTCAGCTCATCAGCCCCCAGTTCCCTAGCCGCCGGGCCCCACCCGCGTCCCCTGCAACTCCAGGCATCCTGGTCCCTGAAGCTCGGATGCAAAGTCAAGGCAGCAACCTCCGGATTGGCCAGGCCCCGGATGGGGCCGGCCGCGACCCGTCCAAAAATCCCATCCAACCCCGCCCCCGCAGGAGGCACCCCAGGGCCCGCACCTTGAGGCGTGCATGGGCTTCGGCGGCGGGCAGCAGGCGGTGGCCGCGGTGAGAACCGAGCGACGCGCACACGCCGCACACGAGCGCGCGGTCCTGCTCGCAGTAGATGCTGAGCGGGTCTAGGTGCTCCTCGCAGTGGCCCTGCGGCACCTGCGCCAGCCCCTCCACCAGACGCGCCAGCTGCTGGTTGGTGCTGAGCGCCTGCGGCCGCGTGGGTGCCTGACAGCTCGGGCAGAGCACCGTGCCGTCCGCCGCGGGCTCCCCTGCCACGCGGTTCAGGCAGGCGCGACAGAAGCTGTGGCCGCACTCAGCCGTCACAGGCGCGTCGAACAGCTGCAGGCACAGCGGACAGGACAGCTCCTGGTGCAGGAGGCCGGGCGCAGCCGACATGGCAGGCCTGGAGGGAGGAGGGGTCAGTCGGAGAAGCTCAGCGGGGCCACAGTCCGGGCCCAGCCTCAGCCCCAGTCCGGGTCTGCAGTCCCGAAGGGAGTTGCCCCTTCCTATAAAGGCCTCTCATCTCATACAGAAAAGGACTCTGGTTCTGGCCAAGGAGGAAGAGCAGACTCCCTCTCAGTCCCAAAGGAGCCTCAACTGCAGTTTTCAGCCCCAGCCCCCAAAATAGCCCCTGTCAGGGGCCTGGTCTCAATCCTGGTTCCTAAGCACAAGGCTGGGTTGCAAACAGGTCTTATCCACTGTCCTTCTCGTGACTTTGCCCCGGGCCTCAGCCCTAACCCCAAATTCACCAGAACACCTGCCCCCTACCTTCCTCTCACCGCTGCAGTACCCACAGCCCTCCCCTCCCCCATACCCCCAGGCCCACAGGACCCACGGGACTTACAGGTCTGATTGGAGATCTTAAGCAAAAAGAGACTCCCAAGAGGCCCAGTCAAGGTCAGGCCTAACCGAAGAGGGATCAGAGCTGTGCCTGAAGACAGGCAAGAGGCAAACAGCAAGCTCAGAGCAAGGACAGGGGACACCACGGGTGATGGGTGCCCAGTGAATAGCAGACAGACCCTCCCAGACTGAGCCCTGGCCTCAGCACTATATTTAGCTGCCCTGCCCATCCCCTCCCATCATTTCTGGAAACCGTTCTAAAAGTGAGGACTGAGTGGTCAGCGGAGAAGCATCACATGTCAAGGCCACCTGTCCTGGCCCATCCCACTGTCCTCTCCCCTGCCCAGCCTGGAGCCAGAGCTCAGATCCAGCAGAGAGACAGGGCCTCTCATACCATGGAAAAGACAGAAGCATGATTGGAGGGAGTTTCCCTTTGTCCCCCAGTTCCGCATTCTCCAGCCCCTCCTTCCCTGCCCATAGCCCCCTCCCTAGCTTGTCACCCACTTTTTCCCCAAGCTTAAGGCTCTCCAAGTTCACACTGGCAGTATTATCTCCAACTGCAAGAGGACAGGACTTCCCCAACCCTGAAAGCTTTTCTTCCTGCAGGGTTGAGGGGAGAGTCTTTTTCCTGTTGGTCTATCGGGTGCTCAGCATAAGCCCTGGAACAAAGTGGGCCTCCCTAAGTCCTTGGAAAATGAATGACAGAGGGAAAGTTGAACAAATAAATGAACTGAATCCAAAGCCTGCAGTCCAGTATCGCCCTGGAAGCCTCAAGCCTTCCTGCATGCTTACCCCTTACATCTCAATTTAAATCTCATTCAGCATAAAAACCAAAGTCCTCACAGGCCATCATCACTCACCCCTCCCCCTGTTCACTCCAACCTTGGCCTTTGCACTCCCACTCCCTCTGCCTGGAACACCATCTCAGACCCAGTATTGCATGCCTCCCTCCCTCACCTCCCTCAGATCTTTCTACCCTGTGTCACTTTCTCACTGAGGCTTTTCCTAACTCCCTGATTTTAAATCTCACATCTCCCTGCCCTGCTTTATTTTTTTTCATAACATTTATCACTATCTGACACATGAGATATTTTACTTGTTGGTTTCTTGTCTGTCTCCTCCTACCGGAACATAAATCTTGTTCACTGTTTGTCTCCAACTTCAAATAAAGTGTGTGGCACACAGCAGGTGCTCAATAAATGCTCGATGAATGAGTAAACACACAAACTCACTTGGTGCTTCTCTTCTGCCTCTCAGTCACAATCCCTCAGCCTTTTCCTGGATTTGTTCATTTCTCCCTCCACCACTCTCTGCCTCTCTTAGTTTGAGTTTTTGTTTCTGTTTCAGTCTCTTAAATTGCCCTTTGGACCCTCTCTTTGCCTCTCTCTTGGGTTTCTTATGATCATTTTTATTAATTTTATTCCAAATGTGCACACGAGGTGTTCTGGATCAGAGACAGGATTCTTATTTAATACCTCACAGTAAATAGTAAATATTTTGCCCCCCTCCCCGTATACTAGGATGATTCCAAGAGAGCCGGGTCAATTGTCCTATAAGAGTAGCCTGCATCCCACAGGTGAGAAATGAGGAAAAGTTATTTTCCCTGCTTATAAAAGAGAAGGAGGCAGCTGTCCCCCTCCCCTCATTTTTTTTCTTTCCTAAAATTTTAATTAAAATAATTTAAAGAAATACAGCACACAAAATGTTACAAAAATACAGATTATAGACAAATAATGAATAATGAGATCTTTTTTTAAAAGAGATACACGATAGGGTATAATGGTTTTTATATATTATTTACACATTAATTAAAAACCATGGCAGCAAAAGCTTTCTGAACATTGGCAAGAAAAGGCAAAAAATTGTTGGTCTTCCTAACATTTTCTTGAAATTCTGCTGGGCATTAAAGATGAGGAGCACTGTCTCACACTTCACGGTCCCTGGCTGCATTTAGGCACAGGGAAAATGTAAATGGGCTCTCAGGATGCTTACGCTCAATATTAGTGAATATAAATTGCAATTTATCACCTGCTGATCTGGGAGGATCTCCTGGGGAGGTGGTGGATTGCCATGGCTCACCCTAGGGACATACACGCAGTGGCATCAGGAAGTATTCGTCTGTGTGAACCCTCCGTCCTGGAGGCTAACATCTTGCTTGGGTCATTGGCACCAAGACCTGGCCCCACCTGACATCCTGTAGGATCCGCACCCCACCCGACAAAGGTCTCCTTACTCCAACTTTTTGGTAAATGACTCTCCCCAAAAGCCAGCCAGGTAGCTCCTAGCAAGTCTCTACTTCTACAACTTGTTTCCAAGCTCTGGGGCTCATTCCTTCTTAAATGCTTGAAGTTTTCCGTACTGCATGCTGATTCTCTTAGGAAGCTGTTCCATGCTTCCTGGCACCTCGGGGGCTTAACCTAGAAACTTTGTTCAGGCTGTAATCACTTGGGCCTCTCAGGAAGAGATAAGAGAAGTTTTATTATTCTTTGGGATTAGAGCAATTAACTATCCTGGCTATGTGAAGAGTCTCAGGAAGGTAGGGCTTTTTATCGGAACCCTGAGAAATCCAGAGGTCGATTGTCCCAAACAGGAGAGGGTTGGGGATGAGAGCACATCTGGATTTGGTCTCTGAAACCACAAGCCACTTCACTTCAGCTCAAAAAGTCAGCATCCGAATGTAGATCTCACCTGAAGTTTCCACCTCTGCCAGGCTAGGGCTGAAGGTTTTGGTCACTAGGAGTGGGTGCCCAGGACAGGGAGGTGACAGTCAACTCAATCCCTTATTGTAGATGAGCCAGGTCTGACCTCCGACCCAAGAAGGGACACTGATCATCTACAGCAGGTTGGAGGACGAGAAGGGGCCTGAAACCATGCCCAGGGGAGAAGGGGTGAGGACTAGTGTTGCTGACCCTAAGACAGAGATCTGTGAGGTCCCTCGGGCCTGGAGCTCAGAGGGAGCAGATTTCAGCTTCTCCTAAGGAGAGCTTCCTAACAGCTGGGGTGATAAGTGCGTGGGAGGTGAGAACTCCTCCTACTGGGTAAATGCAAATAGAAGCCAGAAACCCCCCAGTCAGGGCCACTGCAGAGGCAGGTCCTGAATGCTGGTGCCACAAGCTCCTACTGGTGCCCCCAGGAAGACCACTTGCTTTTCTGGGCTTCAGCATCTTCAACTACAATATAAGGATAGGTAGACATAATGATGCCATCCCTGTAAGGCTGTTATGAGGATGAAACTAGATAATATACTAAATCAACACCAGGGACAGTGTGCTGGCACCCAAGGGCTTTGGAAGTGGTGACTACCACCACTAGGTTCAAATCTTGTCTCTGCTCTTTCCTCGTTGTGTGACCTTGGGCAAGTCACTTAACCTGATTTTCTCATCTGTAAAGTGGGGATGATGTCAGGATTATTCTCAAGATTATTGGATTGTTATGAAGATTCAATAAGATAATCCCTATAAAGCTTTTAGCACAATGCCAGGCTCATAGAAAATATTCAATAAATGTTGATAGTGATATTATTACTACCAATTGTTCCAATGAATCTTCCCTACAGCCCTGTAAATTCAATAACATCATCCGCATTTCACAGACTGGGAAACTGAGGCTAAGAAACTTTAACAATAACAAAAGCACCTACCAGATGCTGCCAGGTCTGTTTCAAGCACTTCATAATTCTTAATCCATTTATAACCTCAGAACCTCTTAATAACCCCCATCATTGTTCCTATCTTATCAGGAAGCCATGAGGCACAAAGAGATTAAGTGACTTGCCCAAAGTCCTGGCAGTCTATGGTCCTTCTGGCCCTGGGAAGTGCAATCTGTCTCCAGCAGAGTTATTTTGGGGAGGGTGGACGGTGGTAGGTCACACCCGGGAAGCATCTTACCACCAACCACTCTGGTCTAGTCCAGGGACCAAAGGTGGGCCTGAGGCGAGACTTGGAAGTTCTTTCCTGCCAGGGATCGGAGCTCAGAACTCTGAGTACTACCCCCAGAAAAGAGGGTCAAAGTAGAAGGGACTACCATGGCTTCCCGGAGAGCTGCCCAAGGCTCCTATTCCCCTCTTCTCCAGGGGTGAAGCTGCACTGCGGTCTCCAGGAATGAGCTGGCTCTGAGCTTACCTCCCTGGGGTACCCTGGACAAGTTGCTGCCCTTCTCAGGGCACCAATTCCCTGTGGCTGGTGATGTGAGTGCATTATTGACACAGGATGCAGTCCCCAGAGAAGGGCTGTGACCTCCCCAAGTCACAAGCTAGGAGGTAGAGGGTCTGGGAGTAGAATCTGAGTGGGTGTGATACCCCTCATCTCCTGC